GACCAAGGCTGTGGTGGTAGACTGATATGGAATCCTAACATAGGCAATGGGAATTGATCTCTCTTATTTTAAAGTTGGTTTCTTCGTTTCCTTCACTTTATTTTGGTTGTTGACTCAACTTATTCTTCATGCTCTCTTTGCTATTATGTCGGTAGCATTATCTTTTTTAAGTAATGATTCAGTTGCTGTGTCATATTTAAACTCATAGGAACTTGTTGTTGTGTCTGCATCCTCTCATTCTTGTATTTGCCTTCAGGGATCACCAAATCTGAGCTAAGTTAACTGCATTATTCTATTCAAATCTCATGTACCTTTGTATTTTAATAGAAAAATTATGTGTGCCAAATCCACGTTGTTAGGTTTAATTCTACCAAAATATCTACAAATATAGAATATTTTTTTAAAATTGAGTGTAATAACTTTTCAAATTTATATATTATTTCATACAAAAAGAGTTTCTAAGAAATGTTTCCTATAACATCAAATAAGTTCCATGGTACATCATTAAAATGTTTGTATGAATAAAAGCAATAGTAAACAAAACTTATTTTTTTCTCTTAACACCACAGTTATTTCAATAACTAATTGTAGACCTCCCTCTTGGGATAAATTAAACCTCTGCCTTAGCAACAAAAAAAAATCTTAGCCTCATAGCCTTGGTTTCTAAGCTAATTAGTTACACCCTGCCCAAACTCTAATCAATCTTAAGAGCCTTAGAGTAGACTCGGTATTGCTAAAATAAAATTGAATTGAAATCTATAAGCTGATTTTAAATAATCATAGCAAATCTTAAAATCCATATATTTGACTACACCTCATACTTAGCGAAATCTTTGATAGCCTTGAAATCCATAGACTTGGTATGTTTAGCTTATTATTGACCTATGTTTAGCTTGGTAGACCTTAGTAGAACCATAGATGAGCCTAAGAGATCTAAGTGGACCTAACCTACTTGATTCATATAAATCATAACTTGAACATAAAGACTTCCCTCAGTTAATACTGACGAGGGATTAAAGAAATGACATATGAACATAAAAATCAATTGTCTTGACCAAAACCGCAGATTGGACTCAGCTGGCTTGGTTAACAATACTTAACCAACCTAACCCGCTTAATGACCTAGTCTAACCCAATCAAATCCATTAGGCCCATTGACTCGACCCAAGCCAACCCTAATTCAAACATTAACCTAAGGTAGTCCATTAGACCTTAATTGACCCATCTAGACCAATCCCACCAAACTAATTAGATCCAAAATAAGACCTAAGCCAAGACCTGGTGGAACTAAGGTGGATGTCTAACCTAATTGGCCTTGTTAGAACTTGAATAATCTTAATTAGCTTAGCTTAGACCATACCTGGGAAAAAAATTGAACCCTTATTAATTAGCCTAATATAACCGATACTAGCCTAATCCAACTTTTGGCCCAATTGACAAATTGGGATGATTAAGTGAATGGACCTCACCAAGGCTAGCCAAACCCAACTTTTAAAACAAAATCCAATGCATCAAATTTAAAATTTATTAACTGATTATCAGATTCAATATTTCTTCAGAATAAATAATGCTACAAATTCTATTAATATTTAGGCATGACCTAGGTGTTCTGCCGCTTTTCCTTCTCACTCTAGACATACATACATACATATATATATATATATATATATAGAGAGAGAGAGAGAGGGAGAGAGAGAGAAATAGTTGAACAATATTTTAGGAAAATTAACCATTAAATTGCTTTTTTATTTAGTAGTGAGGGCTCTAGCCAATTCAAGTGAAGTTTACAAGATAAATTCACGGGCTTTCAATTCTCTTATAGCTAGCCCTATCATTTTTAAATCCAAAAGCTTGCTTAAAACTTTATAAACTTGGCATAAAAATCAAATAAAAAAATAGCTACAAATGTTATTCTAAAGAGATGAGAAAAATTACTAGCAAATACTATGAGATCGAGCAGATAAAGAAAAAAAAAAGAGTAAGAGTGAAATTAGAGAGACAAGCTCTGAGTATTATGTTTTCTCTAAAAAGAGATGCAAAACATCCTAGTTGTCCCCGTCTTATACCCTTTGAGGGGCATAAAGAAAACTATACAAGAGAGAAAAAAATAAATTAATATACTTATTTCAAGATCTTGAATTGCAAATCTTGCGATCGAGATTTTAGACATATGGAGATGGTGTTGAGAAATTAGGGCGAAGAAAAACAAAAATCAACACAAATCCAGAAGAACACACAAAGATTTATGAGGTTCGGCAAAGATGCCTACATCCTCTGGAGCAGAGCTGCGACTTCCTTTCAATATTCAGAAAAAATTACAGAATACAAGATACAACACACCTAAGGTTACAGACATGACATATATATAACCCTATAGTACAAAATATAATTACTTAAATTACTCCTATACCAAACCGCGGAGTGTTGCCCCCGCACCCCTAACCCACATAATGAAACATATATCAAACCGCGGAGTGTTGCCCCCGCCCCCCTAACCCACATAATGAAACTCCCCCGATTAGACAGATCCTTCTGCTCCACTCAGCTCGTGGGCTCAACTCTTATGTACCAATGTGGGTTGGGCCACAACGCTTTCGCTGCGCCCTCGCTAATCCCCCCAACCCACTAAACTCCAATAAACACAATTCTTCAATTTCAAGAGACAGACATCTCTTCATTCCAAGAGACTCCAGATTCTGGTATTATGAGTCATACCTAACAAATCTGCACCTTGGCGAATATCCAGCCCTGCTAGGAGAGATGCATATACCCAACAAATCTCCACTTTGACAAATATTCAGCCCCTTAGGAGAAATATATCATAGAGTTTCTTATGCACCAATGTGGGTTGAGTCATCACGCTTTTAAATAATCTCTTAATTAAGATTCTTTGATTAAGTTTCCCTTAATTAAGTTTTCAAAAAAAAAATAATTTCCCTTAACTAAGTTTCCAAGAAAAAAGAATTTCCCTTAATTAAGTTTCAAAAAAAAAAGACTTTCATTAACTTCCAAGAAAAGTTCCGATTCCGCTTTTCAGAAAAGCTCCTTTTTTACTTCCAGAAAAGCTCCACTTTCCTTCTTAGAAAAGCTATGTTTCCGCTTTCCTTCCAAAAAAGCTCTGCCGCCGCTTTCCTTCCAGAAAGAAATCTTTCTTTTCCTGAGTGCAGCAGCAGATTCCCTTTCTTTGTCCTTCCTGAGTCCTGAAAAATCTCCGAAATATTTCCGCGCTAAATTTTCTTTTCCGCATCCGCCCTTCCAATTGTGCTTCCCGCCGCCCGACTGCCTCCCGCGCCGCCGAACAGAGCCCTTTGTCACGAATCCTTCTCGCCTGGTAGAGAACCGCCTCTGCGATAGTCTCACAGCCCTCATTCCTCTTGTTCCCCCCGAACCGCACAAGAACTAGTCGCGATTCCGAACCTTCGCGAAGGACTTCGTCCGAACCGTAGAACTCTATCGAACCTCTTGTCGCCTTCGCAGAACCAATCGCTTGGTCTTCTGCTTTGCAAAACTGTTCCCTGTCCCGCGATCGCGTGAAGCTGGAGTATTGATCGCTAATCCGCCAAACCGTCGAAGCCTGCTTCGTCTTCGAAATTTCTCTGTGCCGAGATCCGAACTGCCGGAAAGCTTGCAGAAATCCTTCCCTAACCGTTAATCTTCTCTGCCAAAATCTTATTTATTCCCCCGTCGCCGAAATTTTTCTTCACTGCCCTAAAACCTCGCTCAGATACCACTTGTTGAGAAATTAGGGTGAAGAAAAACAGATCGACACAAATCCAGAAGAACACACAGAGATTTACGAGGTTCGACAAAGATGCATACATCCTCGGGAGCAGAGCGGCGACTTTCTTTCAATATTCAGAAAAGAGTACATAATACAAGATTTAACACACCTAGGGTTACATACAGGGCATATATATAACACTATAGTACAATATGCAATTACTTAAATTACCCTTGTACCAAACCGCGGGGTGTTGTTCCCGCACCCCCGATTAGACAGATCCTTCCGCTCCACTTCGTTCGTGGGCTCCGCTCCGGTCCAACATCTGTCCTATTTATGGTATATGAGTCATACCTAACAAATCTCCACCTTGGCGAATATCCAGCATCTTAGGAGAAATATATCATTGAGTTTCTTATGCACCAATGTGGGTTGGGCCACAACGCTTCCGCTGTGCCCTCGCTGATCTCCCAACCCACTAAATTACAAGAGACACAACTCTTCAATTCCAAGAGACATCTCTTCATTCCAAGAAACTCCAAATTCTGGTATTATGAGCTATACCTAACAGTTGATACTCAAAAGATACAGACATGGGAGCTATCCTGATCCAGGAGAGTGATTTTGTGACCTAGGTGAGTCCTTTGGGGTCCTAATGCGAGTCCCCTTCCCCTATACTCCAACCGAGAAGTCAAATGTTTCATGTAAAAACTATTGTCACAAATATTTGTATAGGATCAGATTATAGCCGAGTGTTAGTTGATCCTATACATACCATCAGATTATAGCCGAGTGTTAGTTGATCCTATACAAGTGTTATCTGGCCCCAGGCAAGTGCTTCTTACTTTCATATGGATTGATTCCATGTATTTGATAAACAATTCAGACAGCCATTAAACTGCAACTCTTTGTTTTTACTAAGTAGTTATCACAGTTCAATTTCTCGACAAAATTGAGATAGAATACTGCTGAGGAAAAAAAAAACAGAAATTAAGCACCAAACAATGCTATTCATTTTTCAAATCTACTCTCAATGGAAAAGATTTGTTTTGACGAACTTTCTAACAAAGAACACAGGAACCATCTAATAAACAAGCGTCATTAATGAAGCCAGAAATCCACTTTGTTCGCTGTTTCAACTAACCTAATTCCGGGAAAAGAAGCCAAAAAACGCAAATGATAGGAAGAGATCAGCAGCACGCAGCCAAAACCCAAATTGTGGTGAAATTATTTACAAGCAAGGAATTATGAAATGGAAAGCAGGATAGAACAGCTATACCATGCAGTCGACGATTGGATAAGACCCGATTAGGGTTTTTTCCCCTCTATTCCTGGTACAGACAAGACGATCATCCCAAGAACAACAGCTTGATTGGCAAAAAATAGAAACTGTAGGCAGAAGCCATGAAACTGTTCGACCCCAAGAACCTACTAACAAGTGATTATCGTGCCAACAAAGGCGTGAGGCGTATATATTGGATATAAGAGTTTTTATATTGTTAATATGCTTTATATATATATATATATATATATTTGTGTATGTGTGTGTGGTATAACCCCTTTATTTTAAATAATATGATGTAATATTGCTAAATTGATTCTGATGGTTATTAATATGTTTGTAATTTTTTAATATTCTTACACATAGTATTAATAAGCTATATTAATGAGATATGATAATCATAGTTGCAAATATTTAAATGATTTTTTTTTTAGATTTTGATCTTAAATGTTGATAAAATAAATAAACTTTTAGAATATTAGCAAATCGTTATTTTCCCATAATTTTTAGATGTCATTTGCTTTGATAGTGGTGTTAAGAATTTTATATATGATTGGAAAAAATTCTTGTGTATTCCAAATTAGTGTTATTTGGCCAAGTAGCATTCACTCATCGTAGAGGGGCTAGTTGCTATCGTCATCGCTAGGCCACTTTAGCACATGACACCATCATACTCTTTTCCATTGGTGGTAGCAACATCATCATCGCCGTCATCTCTATTTCTTACCCCTTAGATCTTACTTTGATTTTATTTTATTTCAAATCAAAAAAAAAAAAAAAAAAATCTCGTACATTACTTTTAAACATAATGAAACAACTCTCAAAAGAGCATTGGATTTTTCGGGAAAGAGCTTTCTCCGCACTATGGTTTTCTTCCTTGTGCCGACTCTTCTTCCTTCCTTCCTTCCTCCTCTACATCATGAAATTGCTTGAATAATGCATCTCTAAATCATATCATAAACTAAGCTAAATATATTTTGCACATTTAAACAACAGGCAATTTAGAGTATAATAATTACATAGATTTTTCTATTTTATTATATAAATGCTAGTAATTTCTTCTAAGAAGATCCGGTTCAAGGTCCAAGATTTATGGTTTAGAGAATCCTAAACAATATTGAATTACCATAATCTTAAATTTTATTTTTATAATAAAAAATATATTTGATATTTTAGTGTAGGAGTTCTAGTGGTTACCCGAGCATTATCAGTAGGTCATGTAGATCTTTGAGATCAGATAGGCTACACAATTGTGAGATATGTTTATCGATATTGACAAGAAAGGATAGAGATCCCTCTGCATTGGGGAGATTGTTTGGGCCCAGCTAAACTATGTCAGGAAGATGTAGCAAGCACATTTTAGTCGATTTTCTGATTGTGAGGGCATGAGTACCTCCAAACACACTAGAGGTTCGGTCCCATATGCCAGGCACAGAAGAAGGAAGATAAGTTTTACTCAATGCAATAGATTTAAATATCTAATTATTATTTACCATTTTTTATATGCTAACAAAAGCAAGTGCTTAAGGAAGAGCTCATCATCGGATGGGATTTTTAATTTTGATGATAACTACTCTTTTAAAATTTTATGGGATGAGTATTTGTGGTTGAAGAATGTCTAGAGTCAGAGCTCAGTAGGAGCTCGTAGCCTTTGTGGCTAGTCTGACTAATCATAATATAACATGTAGAGAGAAGTTGTTTAAGAGAGAAATAAGGGAAGGATCTGTAGTCTCTGCTGGGATAAGATGTACGATGCTCGACATTCATTTTCAGATGAGAGCTCCGCACCACCGAGTGACGAAGTGAACAGGCGGGTCGCCATCTTCACCCAGGATATGGAGGCTTACATTGATGGAGTCAAGGGTGGGGTTGAGAGCCAAGGCGAGGCTGGAGGAGCTACATGGCATGACATGCCGATGTGACAAGCTACTGATGGTGAAAAAAGAGGAGTAAGATAACGAGGTCGATGAGTAGTTTCATCCGTTTATACATTATTGATTCTCTTGGACATTGATTTGTATTTATATATCTTATGTATATAGTTTTATACTTATTCATTTAATTAATTTGAATTTTTATTTATTATAGTTTTATTCATTATGTGTGTCATTGTGTGGTATTGTATTGTCCTGAGATGGTATGAATATAATTGCACCATGTTTTGTGTTGCAATTATAGTGCAATTATAGGCGTGTAAAAGTCTTATGGTTAAGGTCTTTATAATTTTTATTTTTGGTACATGTTTTTGGCTTATATTAGAATGATATATCGGTAGGTATTGATTGAAGCAATGGAATTAATAGTCAGTTCTTCGACATGATTCCAAGGAGTGAATATTTCAGGTCCCATTTCAATTGGTTGGTTGCCTATGGATAGATCAATAGAAAATCTATTATTTTTTTTCTATTTTATGATAACTGATGGACAAATTTATTTCTAGCTAATTTGTTCGGAGCTTATTCTGCCAAAAATTTTTTTGGCTAATTGTGAACAATATTTCGATCAGAATTCTTTTATGACAGATTTTATCCATCAAAATGCATTTATGATCATGGATTTTTTCTTTCACGGCTCAAAATCCATCATAAATCTATCAGATATTAATTTTACATGTGGAAAATTCTTTCTTCCAGTATGTTAATTTATAAAAAAATATTAATTTCCTAAAGCGGGTCTCAAAGATATTGATGAAAGTAGAGACCCATGCTAAGTGATGTTGGTGTCAAAACCAAGTTGCTTTGCAACGGCCACCATAAAGAAGAGAGGAAATAATCAAAAAAAGGATCACAGGTTACACACCTTAAATGATTAGAGAGAGAAATGGCGCAAAAGATCCCTTTTAAGGGGACATAGTGACTACCAAATTTTTGCATAATGAATTAGTTACTGTTGCCAAGAAAATTGAAGAATTATATAATAGCTTATTATAGAAAGGGGCAGATGGAGTATGTAGGGGCTTCAGGAAAGGGCTAGCTATACCATAACTTGATATGAGTTCATAAGAATAGGACAATGTCTTGATGTGAAGAGGATATAGTTTACACTAACAACAACTATAAGAAAGGGACATCTGGAGTATTGAGTTCATCTTATGACTATAAGTCTCAATTGCAAGCTATTGTTACCTTAAGAGGAAAAAAACTACAAAGCGTGCTAAAAAATGAGTCTTCACTGTATATGCTATTTATAATGATTCAATAACCTGAACTCATAATAAATTATTTTAAAACCACATTTTAAAACTATGCATATAGCTAGCCACTTGATCCTCCCATATTTGCTTGACATGGCTAATTTCTTTTTGAGTTTGATTACCAAAACAAATATGAAGATTTTCATGTTTAATTTGATTTTAATATGGGCATATTAATTGATACATGTTAGAACATTCGTAAGGATAGAGATGAACTTTGTTGTCTTAGAATTATAAAAATAATTTGCACACAATTGAATGGAAAAGTTGTTAATAACTTATAATATACTTGATATTTTTATATGTTAAAAAATGAGAAAGATAAAAACAAATGAGATCCAAACTAGCTGAAATAATTTTATTAGTGTGATTCATACATTATTAAGATGGCCCTTCCTCAAAATGGAAGAACATATTGTTTTAATATAGTAGACATGGATTATAAAAAATAACTTCCATAATGGAAGTAGGAAATGCCTTATCACATCAAAGTTTTCATCAAGAGCTCATTGGTCCTTTGATTCATTATTTTTCTTTTAATGAAATGGACAACCAGGCAAGTAGGTAAGCATTGGCCTTGGTAATGAGGGCGCGTTAGCTTTGTTGCTAATAGTAGGAGTCGATTTTGTTATTGATGGTGGACATCCATTTTATTTGAAACAATAGTAGTTTGTATTGTTTGTGATGATATATATTGACGTTACGGTGATGGTGTGCGTTCTCATTGATATCCAATATATGTGGCAACCTATGGATACTCTTGGCATCAGTCTTATCGACACTAGTGAGTGTCAATATTTTTGACAATAATAGGAGTCGAAGACGTTGCTACTAGTTATAGGTTCAATCTTATTAAGGAAAATAAATCAGTTGTGTTGATAGCAATAGAAGTTAGCCTTATTGACGATGACATGTTTTAGTCTTATTAAAGATAATAATTAAGAATTGGGAATTGATAGACATTATTCTAGAATAATTTCATCAAATAGAGCTTTGATTTCACAATTATAATTTCTCAATTTTTTATAGTTCATTGTACTTATTTATTTAGTTTGATTTATATAAGAAATAAAAAATTTACAAAATTTTAGAGGTAAAATACATTCAAAGAACAAGAGGAGTAATTTGAGCAACAATCAATGCAATGAGCACAATTAGAGGCATCAATACCTCTAATCCTGGCATCTAGACAAAAGGGAACTTAATAATTAATGATTAATTTAACAGCATCTTGACATTCTTCTAGCATTATTAATCTTTAATAAAGTATTTTTAAGAGACACAACCACCACTATCATGTTTTGCCATTGGCTAACTTTATCCCTTAATATTAATTGCAGTCAAATGCCAGCTTGGACTTGTCTTGCCTGTAATTCACCCCTCCATTCAATCCCATTTATTTGAGTTGCTCCGGGCCCTCTTCTGCTGAAATGAAAAAGAACTGAAATTATATGCAGAATATTTGACATGAAGATGTCCAGAACAAATATATGTTTTGATATTTTAATTTATGTTATTAAAGACAATGGGCCCTGATAACATTCTTCTTCATTATTCAACATTTAATGGTTCAAGTAGAGTTGAATCGAATGCTGAATTATATGAAGACATAAATATTAAACTTATTTTAATATGATTTAGATTATGTAATTATATTACACTAATAATATTTTAACTATTGATTCAGTCGATCTGATCATATTTTTAAAACCATGTGAATAAGATTTTTAGGGCTTGTTGATCGAATTTGAATCTAGACAATCTGGCTTCTTTTACACGATAGAATGAAAAAGGCTATAAATAGTTGGGTCCTATCTTAGCAACGTTAAGGAGGCTTAGTCCATTATTTTCAACAATATAAAATAGCATAAAATACACCAACAGCCAGGCTCTATCCTACTAAGTGGGTTCGACTAGATGCATCATTTTTCTCCATTGTGTCATATTTTCATTTAATCCTAATAATATAAGATCTTTTTTTTAATACA